ATCTGTCCATACTATCTGCAACAACCTGTGCTGCCTCTGCCTCAGCTGAAATAGAGGGGTTTATAACGCATTCTGGCATTTGCTGCTGAGCAGCAGAGTCTGGGAAGAGCCTCACAAAAGGCTCTACAGTACTAATACTCTGAAACAATTCATTTAAGCCACACACCTGAATTTTGCTTTTCGATCTTTGCAGGAGCACCATTCTTGCTATTAGAGACTGGGCTACTGACTCAGACTGAACTGATTCCTGTGTGTTACATTCCTGGGTTGGCATTAAGAAGAAAAAATATTTCACTGTTTATCATCAAACTAATGTTGTCTCACCTAAGGCAGAAAGACAAATTGAACTCATTCTTCTCCTAAAGACATAGGATATGAAGGAAGGATTGTGTTCTGACTTGGGAAAACCAAATTTGTCTTTATATTGTCCGTTAAAGGTAGATGAGAAACTGCCTTAGTCTTATTAAAGAGGATGATGCGAGTATCAGACTATGAGATACCTGCTCCCAGTTGCAAAGACTTTCTACATGGCCTTGAAGGGAAATTAAAAACCCACAAAAAACCTTCTGTGTCTCGGTTCCCACCCATAATGTGGAACAAGCCAACAGTTGTGACATACAAAGAAAATACAAGATTGAGGTCTCTAAATCAGCAACCGCATCTCCTACCATGCACGTGTACAGTGCACAGCGCAAGGAGAACGAAAGGAGCAGAGACACTGATCCTGGCTGCAGCCTCCAAGCAAAACTGTAATGTAAAAGATAGGAATTGGTGGGAAGATTTGAAACAAGGTACAAATCCTTGGAGCAAGGATTCTGCATTCTTCTACGTTTGGAAAGCAGCCAGCAACCTATACCGGAACAGGAATCACAATAAATTGAATTCATTCTTAAGATACATTTCAGAAATCGTTAACGTTTCTCTGAAATTAAAATAGTAACAGCCACAGAATTAAAACATAACATTTAACTCGTGTGTGTGTGTACATATATATATATTCTTGTTCTGATCTTACTGTTTTTTATATTCTCCTGTTTCTCAGCAGGAAAACAGAAGACATTTTCCTCTTTCATATTATTTAAGAAGCTGGGAAAAGAATTCAGCTCTCAACTTGAGATGAAATGCCTTTGGGTTTTGGTTGGGAGAGGGAAGGAGGAAGAGGTTAAAGAATTGGGATGTAAAGGGGAATGAAATAATCCACATCCTTATTCATGTGGAATAGTTTGGGGTTGGGGGTTTGTTTTTGCTTAAACTCCAAGAACGCTGGCCCTTGTTGGAACAACCTGAGTCATGTTCTGCTGCACAGAAGAGCCCTAACAGTGTACACAAATTCAGAATAAATCATCGGTGTATTGACTCACCAATGCAAAAGATACATTCTTTAACTAGACCACATAGATAAAACCAAACATTACCATGCTCCTGAATGCATTGGGAAGAGCAGCCCCAGTTCAGGGATGCAGAAGGCAATTTGAGTATCAGCCTGTTGTCTGAAAAGGGGGTACGACACTGAGGAGCAAGTACAGTGCAAGTGTTACACACTGAGGAGAAGGAAAAGGGTTCTCAGGATTAATTTGCTGTCCTGATAAGAGCTACTACTCATTTCTACCCCTTTGCCTTTAAAACAGATGCTGCTCTCACGCTATGGCAACATAAATGACATCTTCATAGCCTTTTTTTTATCTGAAGCTTTCGAGATGCTCTCTTCAGCTTGTTAATTACACATGAAATCCCTTTTTGTATAATCTATTCCCATACTGTCAGAACACCATGCTGTAGCCCCCAGTAATCCTTGGACTGAAGACAAAACCAGCACTACCAACATTCATAGCATTCTGAAAGCAGCATATTCAGCAGCACCGAGCCCTTCAGCCACCTCCAGCCCCTCAAAGAAAAAAGGACCTCATGCCACACCAGTGGCCATCAGCACGATGTTCAGCCACAACTTGGAGAAGTTAACACCATCATATGATCAGTTCCCGCACAAGAATGGACATAAGCCAACAACCTCGTTAAGAAAGAGCCTTGCACTGTCTCCCACAGCACTCTAGGTGGACCATCAGGTCTCAAAGGCCATGGTTTGTTTGTTTAACCATTGATTTTATTCTCTAATGCCAGGCGTTTTATTCTAGAGAATGAATTCTTCTTTTGACAACCAATTACTCCTCCATGGAGCTCAACACATGGGGACCTTCCTTTCCTTGTGAAGGCCAAGTAGGCCGGACCCTGTTGTGGTCATTTCTTTCCCTTGAGCACTGCTCAGCAGCCCAGGTTTATATCAGCATAACTTTGCTTTGAAACACTCATTGATTTTCAGACCAAAGCATTTAGTTGCCTAACACCCACTGCTGGATGGAAATACATGGGTAAGTTCTAGAACAGCTTTGAAAGTCACACTGGTTATCAGTCAGCTATCGCTGCCAAGTCAAAGGTTGGAGCACAAAGGCCAAAAACAAGGAATGGAGGCCCTGCAAAAAAAAAGTAGCTTTTCCTTCCAAATGCACTTCCCAGTGACAGACCAGCTAACTTTTCACAGAGTAGAGACTGAAGGGAAAACATTCTCCCAATTTTTAAGACCTCAATTTAACACAAAATCTAGTAAGTGCTTAATATTCTGTACACATTTGGGTGTGTAGGAGGACTAAGGTTAAGTTCATGCATTAGAAAGCTATGTGCTTTGCTTGCCTAATACTAAGAACCTGTTGGGACTACACAGTTGCCAGAGTCTGAGCGTCTTAAAATTGAAAGCAATCAATAGAGCAGAAAGAAGTGATAATATTGTATGATACAGCTGAGCTCAATTCGTCTGCCAGCCCTTGCCCTCAGATGAGCAACATTTTCAGCTGCTTAGAACCCAGCAGGGGCTCCATCTGATGAACCACAAGGCATCATTACTTAGGAACAATCTCCCAATCAAACTGATGTTTAAAAGATACATTGCACTTCCCTTACACAATAGTAGAATGTGCATATCCACTCTACTGTGGGCAACCGCATGCAATCAATACTGTATTTGATTTTATAGTGAAAGCACACATAATCCTGTCTACAAGAAGCCAGGCTTAGAAACTTTAAGCTACCCAGCACGACTATGTGCAAGGCCCAGACAGATTTCCTCATCCTGTATAAATTCAGTGACTGGGATACTGAAATATTTCAGGGGTACTGGTTGTAAATGTGTGAGCAAAATCTTCAATTTCTAAAATCAGCATAGGACTGGCGAAATTTATGGAGACGCGGCAGATCATTCCAGCTGAGAATCCCAAGTAGCCCCGATTGCCCTAACTGTGCAGTTGGAAAAAACTCTTGTAAACCTACTTAACTACTATGACTTTCTTGCTTACCTTCATCCTACCAGAAATAGGAAGGCTGCAAACATATATCCAAACATATCCAATGCGGAAAGGCTGTCCAACATCTCTAGTTACTTCAGCAGTGTTCTCATATCATGGCACTTTCTGACCCTACTTGCATTACTTGTTGAAGCCAAGCCCTTAACAAAACCTCATTTCGTACTCGAGTCAGACTTGAGTTTTGGGGAAAAGAGACAATTCTTCTTGTCCTCTATTGTGTTCCCGATACCAAAGATTGTAAGGTCAGCCTGAAAGAGGATATTAAAATCACAGACTATGTCTGAAATGCTTTTTTTGGTGTTAAAATTTAAAACACGAGTGCCCCCTCTTCTGTCTAAAGGTGCACAACCACTTTAATCAACCTTGACAGTGGTAAACCTCCTACCCCAGGCAGAGAAATATGTTCAGGTAATGGCCAAACACCAAATTAATCTGTGTGTTCATCTGTGCCCCAAACATAATCTGAAGGTGGGAATTTCTGTATTTCACACAGTAACCCTGGGGAGCAACCAACTTTTATTACATTTCCATTAAGTAGATCATAACGTGGCTAAAAAACTAGGCATGTGGAGAAGCGACCAACTATTGTAGTAACAGCAGAGATTGTACGCTGCTGTTCAGCACTCAGCTCAGCACGGAGTGCAGGTAACCTGTTCCTTATATGGGAAGCAACCCGAAGGGCTGTGCGACACTTAGGAGAGAGTAATTAGTAATTCTAGTTAGGTGACAAACAAATGTCATGGCATATTGGAGAAATTACCATATTAAAAGCAGACAAGAGAAAGAAGAAGGGAGATGTGATCTGCTGAGCAGTAACTGGCATGAACTGATCAGTGACTTCCTCTATAACTGGACAAATTACTCACAGCCCGAATTCCTCTGCCCGGCTTATTTTTCCAAAGCTATACATTTTTGTGTCTTTTTATTGAATGCATGCAATGTTTAGCTCAGAGATTTAAACCTTCCAGCCCCTACCACAATACTGATACATTGAAATTAAAATAACATGACCAAAACCCCCTAGCATATCACATTTAGTTGTTTTTGAGTAAGTTGTTTTGGCTATTCAGCGACAGTACTAAAACTCAATAATTTGGTGTAACTCTATTGTGTGTAACACAGACAAAAGCCTGCTTCCACTCTCCTACCACCAGCAAGCTGGCTGTTACATTTAACCTTATGTTGTGGGATATTTTTTTTTTTATTTTTAAACAAGGATTAGAGCTTGGCTCTTACTGGTTTCAACAAAAGGTAAGCAAGTAAATGTTTTTTGAAGTCCAGCCTTGTTTTGTGAGGTTTTACAGCATTATTTCAGAGCCCTCCATCAGATTCAGTAATACTTACAAGGCGAGGAAGAGAGACAACAGTGGGAAAGAAAAGATGACATAACATGTTACTAACATTAAAGATTTCATGTTTAAACCACCTTCTCAGCCCTGCACACCTTTGTGGATTTCACTCTAATTTTTAAAATAGATTACTTAATAACTGGATGTTACAGATGTAATGAAAAACTAAGCCTTTGCTTCCATGTAATTTGAGATTCAAGACACTTCTGAAAATCGGGATCCATGCACCAACTACACCAACTGTACTGTGCCCACTGTATCAAACAACATATGCATACAGAGACATGAGCCAACATACCCAGGACACCACTCTTCCATTGAAGCAAGGTAGCTTTGCATTGTCGTCTGAGATCTCCTCCTTTACCACCCTGGGGAAAAAAAAAAAAACAACAGGAAGAAAATCAAGAGTTTGAAATGACATCAGATCAGAAGGGACAGTGGCTTTCTTAAATGGTCCAGGAAAATTTTTTACTAAAATGTTGGTATCAGCGAGTCTTCTATGTTTAAAGAATAAGTGACCATTAGAACAAAGGAAGCAAATAAAAATAAAGGGTAGAGTAGTACCTTTCCAGACAACCATCCCAAACTGGTAGTCACAAAAGCAAATACAAGCATTTTTACCCCTTTGGAGTCTTCCATCTCACCACAATTTTTAAAGACCTGACAGTGATTAAAACCCCACAGTGCTGTGCAGTCCCTGTGTCAGAAGTCACAGATCTCTGTGTCACCTTGCCACTGTGTCAGCAAAGAAAAACCTCTTACCTCAATTTCCTAGCCTGGATTTGGAGCCAAAACACAGCACCTTCCCCCAAGGCACTGAAGGAGTTGTGGTCAAGCTTCATATCGAACCCTTGCCTCCTGTACATCAGACAAGCATCTCAACCTTCTTCATTAACTCGGGCTCTCTTCCCACTCTCGTAGGCACACCCCCCTCTTGCTCCCTGCGCCTCCCTCCTTGCACTCCAAGCTGGGTTCAGAATGGTTTTCAGGGCTGCGGGCCAGGCCAAGAGCAGACCTGCTCAAACACAGAGGTGCAGCTGTGGCTTTGAGGAGCCCGTTCCTTTTTTAAACAGATGCAATGCCAATATAACATCCAGCTAGGAGCCATTCTGAAGGCTTCTTGATAAAAAGCTTAATCCAGAACTCAAACCCTTATAATCAAGAAAAACAAAACCAGAGATCTGTTTCACTAGCATAAGGGTTTTCGTAAGGTTTTCAATTCTGAAGACACTTACTGTGACTCAGTATCTCAGAATTAGCATTTGTTTCAACAGCTTAAGATTGATCATAGCCAAATACAAATGAGACAACTACAGAGAAAACAGAAATGCTCCCATTTCATTAGGCTTAATTCCAAGCTTCCAGTTCAGCAGCAACTGAAGTTACTTCAGATGTTTCTGTTCTTCTAACTAGCACAGTAACCAACATAGCCCCCATTTAACTACCTCATATTCATTAAATTAGCCAGTCAGAACCATATATATATATATATTTATAGCTACAAAAAGATAATCTGAATTCTTCAAACAATTCAGTGCTCACTCGTCCTCTTAGAAAGTAAAGCAATTACGTTTTAAGTCAGTGAGATCTTTATCAGGTTTGCTGGAGGCAAAGTGAGCCTCCAGTTCTCCTCTACGTCCTGGATGAATTAGCCTGCAAAGCTGAACGGGCTCTAGGAAGCCTCTCTAAATCCCATCCAGGATCTGGAAACAACGGTGCTGTTGACTACACCAGGGTCACCACCTTTGGAATCATCCAGATGAAAAGAGCAGGTTCAATACCAACTACTAGGAGTAATTAGTTACTGCCTTTAAAGCACCCTTCACAACGAGCCCCCAGCAAGCCAGCTTCTAACTCTACAAACCAAATACAAACGTCATCTGCCAGCAGGGCACTTAAACCATATTTTTTAGGACTGCTGCTTTAAGCTGGAGAGTTCCAATTTAAAGCAGCAAATATTGAGATTAAGAAAACCCTGTATTTGCATCAGCTTCCTTAGCAAACCTCCCTCATTTATACAAAGCCGTGATGTCTCAGAAAGCGTTTTTTTTTTAATTTAGAGGAGAAACAGACATTGGTGGTGGCTTCTGAAGAGACCACCAAATGAGAAATTTTTTAAAAGAATCACCATTTCAGAAACCAGCCTGAGTGACGCTTCAAGTTTTCAACCTGTGCTTTACTACTTAATTTAAAAGCAGAACCATTGAAATCTGCTAATTGGGCAATCCTGACTATAGGATTTGGTAAAACAGCCGGGCTGCTTCACTGTTGCAGTTCAGTAGTTTCAGTGTAAGATGACGCAGTTCTGAATCTGTGCCACGACGGATTCTCTCTTGTTGATGACGATCCACAAGACAGGACAGAAATGGTCCATGTTATCTATTACAACACTTTGGCCTGGTTCTCTCTAGTAAGGAGATACAGATGAAATGCAGGGCAGTTAGTTCCCCATTCAGATTCTCTGATTAAGGGTAAGAATAATACTACTCTTCAAAACAGGAGCCCACAGAGCCACCGTGATACAGGATTCCCTTCTCGTACCCTCACTCCCACAGTAGGACATGAATCACTTCTGCCTAGAAAGCAGACCTTAAGGACAAGCTTCCTTTCAAGCATTTTTTTTTTTTTTTTTGAATCTGCAAATTGGAGCAAACTCTGAACCCAGCATCTGGCAGAAGCAAGGCAGCCCCAGGCAGGGCAGCACAGAGAATCCCACACTACACCACCTGCCCTCTGCAGCAATTACCGAAGCCTGAAGCCCTGCGCAAACATCTCTTCAGATGCTACTGCTGCCTTCCCTGTAGCAAGATTCTTGTGGATCCTTCTAATCACACAAGCAAGGGCTCAAGTAGGGCTGAAATGCAAGCGTTCAAATGCCGGACTTGTCAAATTCCCGTTTCAGGCAGCCTCACGTACAGAAATACTCCCACACAGCACAGCAAACATGCAGGACATTTCAATCAATTTTAGTCTCTTATTCAACAGAGTAGTCCAGGACAGAGCCTACCTGAACTGACTTAACCCATCGTACTCAATTCATCAGAGTTACAGGAATAGCGTCAACATTCACAAGCCCGTGGCTCCATTAACTGCGGAGCTCTCCTCTCCATTTCTGCCTGGATCCAAATAAACTACGGCTGTGTGACTGCCGAGACCAACAGAGCACTTCGGCTAAGCCCTGGAGGTCACTTGTCCAAGAAAGGGTTTGTTTCAAGATTCTGAAGAGCTAGGGATATTCACAAAGGTGGCTACCCAGGTCAGGGAGAATTAGCTGGGTTTTTTGTTGGGTTTGGGTTGTTTGTTTTCTTTTTAATATACAGCTTGAAAGAACCAAGCTAACCAATGGGAAGTCACTCAACTGCAAAACCACCAGGTTTTGCTCTTAAATATAAGGCTTTACTACTACATGTTGATGGGACTACTCAAGACATTCTTTTTGTTACCTTAAGGGCTCCAACCAAAACTGGGAACCTTTTGAACAAGGCACTGTACAAACACATGGGCAAGCTCTTCCAAGTGGGGACTGTCTAAATACGGGTAGAGAGGAGATACAAGGGGATGCTTATCCCAAGTCAAACAGTAGATTCATAGCAGAAATAGATTTCTGGCCTCAAGCCCCTACACAGCAGAACAGGAACAATTTGGTTTTGACAATCTCTAAGCTTTAAAAAAGCCAACCTGAAGTCTAGTCAAACTCAATAAAAATTTGTGGTTCCGCCACCACATTTTCCTTTATTTATGTTTTTGTCTTTCTTGTTGCTGTGTAAAAAAACCCACAATAGCCACAAAGCAACTGACTATGCATGAAACAGTGTCACATTATGAGGGGGAAAAAAAATGGGTAGGAAGGAGAAGAGAAGAGAGGAGAGCAAACAGAGAAAGAGTTTCTTTCCATCTTACTTTTGGAAAATTAGGAATAAAAAACACCACCACTAATACCTCCATTTGTACACTTTAATCCGTTTTTTTAAAGGAGGAAAGAACATTCCCTTCCTTCTCCACATTTATTTGCATTGTTAATGGCTAGCAGTACAATATTAGGCAGACTTCACCCCTGTCCTATTACTGGAAAGAAAAACATTTTCAAATACTCATTTAACTCCAAATGCATCTGTCCTCCTTTCACCTTTTGGCAACAGCAAACAGATCATATGATTTCATTATCGGTTTTAGTCATTTATACCTAGACTTTAAAGAGACAATTAAGAGTAAACTCCATTGAAATCAGCAGATACTCAGTGCTTTAAAAACCTTTGACAATTCAATGAAGCTCTCAGACCTGTAATTCTGGACCTGCAAACCCCGTGTGCAGACAGGGGATTTCAACATTTGCATGGATCTCCAGCCCCAGTGGACTGACTCGAATCCAGACGTTATCTTCTGTGTTTCAGAGAGTCCTGGAGAGAACACTCACTCAGCAAAGATCCAATTGCAGGATCAGCAAATAAAGATGCTGCAATAATTTTATCTTGGCAGCTGCATGTTTGAAATGACAGGATCTCCACCCCCCAAGGAAATACCATCTACTGCATCCCAGAAATCATATGTAGAAGTTCTGCACCAAGCTCTAAGATTTAGGCAAAAGTAAAGCACTAAAAAAAACCATACTGACTGTGAGTTTCTCTCCAGAGAAAAGCCTTGGGGGTCTTTCTAAAACCAACACATACAGTGGCAGTCAGGATATCCCTGCAATACTGCACAGACTGGTTCGGTCGTCCTCATGATGGAAACGAGCACCGTGAAGTCACCGCTTACAAAACAACGCGCTCTATCACAGCATTAGCCTTCTGCCGCAGCTAAAGGGAACAACTTCCAGATCTGTTGCAACTTGAACTACTAAATATAGCCTTGAGCTACGAGGCAAGAGAATGACAGACTGTAATTCCCAGCTTGCTTTGGGTAGCAATCAACAGTGCCAAGAACATCAAAGACAGCAGCAGCCACTAATTTCAAATATCACTGTTTTACAAATCATTATTTGTAGTAAAGAGGCAGCTCCTCTCAATTCTCAGGAAGGGGAAGCAATGAAGAGAAGGCAAGAAAGGAATATGAATGGTTGCAGCCATATGCTTCAGTCTGAGGACAACTTTTTAATTCCAGAAGTCGTCTTTTGCTCTACAAGAACTTAGAAGCAAGGGTAGATGCATGCTGTTGTCTGCTTTTGGAACACAGATGGTCCATTAGGAACTAATACACACAGCAGCTTAAGACCAGGGTGAATAAGGCCCTAAGTAACGGGTTCGCAACCTAGACCCAACCCGAGCTAGCGTGGCAAGGAAGAAGAAGTGATGCATTTGATCTGCCAGAGACCCCCTGCTGAGGAGAAGAAGAGTCTGTTGGTATTGGATGTGGTCCACTGTGGAGATAT